GCGTAGGCCATGTGGATGCCAGGAAAACAGCCCATCTCTGTCCAGGGCCAGAGGGAATCTATTCGATTGGGTGAGGTGAGGAGAAGGCTGGATCCTTTCCCTCCCAGCTGGAAGGCCTGGTGCTCTAGAAGCCTCTTCAGAAGGTAGGCTGTGCTAGCCCAACACACATGGGACAGGACAGGAAGGCGAAAAATCTAGTCACAGCCTCTTGTACCCTCTGGGAAGCTGGGAGTGCCACTCTGAGAAATGGGTAAAGACACAGATGCAGAGGGAGAGAAGAGTTGAAAAAGACTACGGCAATCTGTATGACAAGGGCCTGGGATGCCCGGACCAAAGACAAATCACAGGCCCCCGAAAGAGGTGGCAGCAGGCAAGCCCACTCACCCAAGCCAGAGTTCCCAGGACAGACTGGCGTGGAGCGGTGGGGAGAGAAGGGTCGGCCTGGGGGAGGCGGCACTGCTGGGCTGGCTGCACCGTGGGGAGATGTGGCACTCAGCACACGTCGTCCCTTGTCTGCGGACTTCAGTCAAAGCTAAGATCCCTTTACTAGGTCTTTTTGCAGTTGGAAGTGTGTTCTCTTTAAGTTTTATTTATTTGCTGATTTATTTGAAAGACAAAGTTACAGAGAGAGAGAGAGAGAGATTTTCCATCCACTGGTTCACTCCCCAGATGGCCACAATGTCCAGCACTAGGCCAGCCCAAAGCAAGGAGCCCAGAGCTGCTTCTGGGTCTCCCATGTGGGTGGTCGGGACCCAGATACTGGGGCCATCTTCTGCTGCTTTCCCAGGCACGTTAGCAGAGAGCCAGATCAGAAGTGGAGCAGCCGGGACTAAAATGAGTGCCCAAATGGGATGCTGGTGTCGCAGGCGGCGGCTTCACCTGCTACGCTGCAGCGCTGACCCCGAAGCTGACCATTTCTAAACTAACTAACGTGTGGTAGTCTTCAACCAGGAGGCTGAGCAGCTGTTTAAAGGCCACGAAAAGGAACAAAGGACTCAGACATACTACGACGTGCATGAATCTCAAGAACAACACGCTAAGTGGAAGAACCCAGCCGTTAAAGACCACACGCTGCGTGATTCCGTTTATCCGAAAGGCCCAGAAAAGACAAATCTATAGAGATCAACCCTAGATTAAGTAGCTTACAGCTTCTTGGTACAAGGTGCTGGAAATCATTTAGAATAAGATTGTGATGGTAGCTGCACAAGTACTCATATTCACTGAATTGTGTGTGCACTTAAAATGGGTGGGTTTTTGATATGTAAATGACGCCTCAATAAGGCTTTTAAAGAACTACATGCCCCAGGGCCAGTGTTGTGGCACAGGGGGTTAAGCTACCACATGCAACAACAGCATCCCATATGAGAACGCTGGTTCAAGTCCTGGCTACTCAACTTCTGATTCAGCTTCCTGCTAATATGCCTGGGAATGCAACAGAAGGTGGCCCAGGGAATTCCAGGCTCTTGGCGTCAGCCTGGAACAGCCTTGGTTGTTAAGGCCATTTGGGGAGTGAACCAGGGGATGGAAGTTCTCACTGTTACTCTGCCTGTTAAATAAATAAATTGCATTTTTTTTATTATTATTTGACAGACAATGAGAGAGAGAGAGACAGAAAAGTCTTCTTTCCGTTGGTTCACCCCCCAAATGGCCGCTACGGCCAGCACTGCGCCGATCCGAAGCCAGGAGCCAGGTGCTTCCTCCTGGTCTCCCATGCGGGTGCAGGGCCCAAGCACTTGGGCCATCCTCCCCTGCCTTCCCAGGCCACAGCAGAGAGCTAGAATGGAAGAGGAGCAACCAGGACTAGAACCCAACGCCCATATGGGATGCCGGCGCCATAGGCAGAGGATTAACCAAGTGAGCCATGGTGCCGGCCCCTAAATCGTTTTGTTTTTTTTTTTTAATCATATGCTCCTGATTGCCCCCATTGTTACTACTCTGGTGAGAAAGGAGGATTGGGTATTCTGAAAGAATTTCCTCCAGTTTATGGGTACTTACATGTACTTGTACTCATGTGTACTTGCCTTGCCCCCACACATGAACCACCACTAACCCCTGCTCCTCAAAGAACAGTCTTTGCTGGCATCACTCAGCCACTGGGGCCTGTGGGAAGTCAGACCCCGAGGCCCCAAGGTCTCTTCTCTTGTCACACCTTCTTTACAAATCCAACATTTGACAGGAAGAAGTTTTTGTCTGAGAACAGTCATCCCTTCCTGAAACCACATAATGGGGGCGGGGGGGCTATGCGAAATAGCTTTTTTTTTTTTCAACTTAAGGGCATCTGTTATTGGTTCTAAACCACAACCGTCAGTGCTCCCAGCTGGCCTCCAAGCCTTGACCAGATGTTTGTGTGTGGCTGCAACCAAGAGTGACACACCAGGCATCCGAGGACTGCAGCGCTCAGCACCCTATCCAGATGGGCCCTAGAGAACCTAAGTGGCCACTTGCTGGAGCGAGAGGCCTTGCCACGATCTGCGCTGATGGGAAGCTGCCCCCTCAGCATTTCTGTCCGTAAACTCAGCACAAATGTCACATGGTTGGCACTGTGCACTAGAGAACAACCTACGCACTAGCAATGGGGTCATATTTTCACACTGCAAGGCAAATAATAGAGCAGGGATCTGATTTCTAATGGATCCAATTCTGGCCTGGTGGACAAGCAGCGTTTATGCCTTGGAAGCTGGTGTGGGGAGGGTACCTGCAGAAGCTAAGCACTTCCCCACCCCCCAGAAGATGGGGGCACTGAACATTCGCTCAAGCATCTACATCAGGGAGACTTTTCTTTGCCATTTTTGCTTTAAAACAGCTTTACTTTAAAACATTATTTTGATTATGTTAGAGTTTTTTGCCATCTCTGAGCAACAGCGTTGCTTAGAAAGTCTTATGCTCTGGTCTGTCTTCGGACACAAGTCATTTAAGGAGGTCTGGCCTGCGCTGTTACCCACAGTGGCTTCCAGCCCAGGGTCGTGCATGCCTTTCTTTGATCCCATGGATATACTCAGTTTTTTTCCTCATCAACACTGCCTTCAAAAGAAGAGTGAGAGAAAAGGAAGATGACAAAAGCCAGGTTGGTCTCTGTTCCTCTGGAGGTCTGGAGACAGGAGTTGACAATATTTTCACTGTCACGTGAAACTTGTCCGTGTGTTAGAGAAGTTGAACTCACCAGGGGATTTGATAAAAAGTGACAGATGAATTTCGCCTCCAGTTTTTTAAAAAAAAAATGAATACTCCAGGCATTAATAAAAAAAGATCATTCACTCAGTCTTTCCAACTTTGGGAAGTATAAAGGATTTTTCTAAAATCTGCAAATATGTGAAAATGTTATCATATGTTACCTTACTTGTGGTTGATGTGAGAGATGTGGCGCCCTCAGACCGAAGATCTAGAGACACACCGGCAAAGGGGAAGGGAGGGAGCAGAGGGGCTCGGGGTGGGACAGGCTGACCCAGGGGACAGTCTATGGGATGTCACACGAGGCTGTTCCCAATGCCTTAAGGCCCTCGTGATAGATTCCACATGCCATGAAAAGGACATGGTGTACCTCTCATGACCCTGATCCTACCTCCTACAATGTGAAGAAACACACACTAAAACTGCACCTTTGGATGAATGAGAGTCCTCACAGCCTAGATTCCCATCATCAACTGTTACAGCCACTTCTGTCAGAGTCTGACTACCCCATCTTTGACACGTCACTATGAATATGTTATGTTATGTTATGTTATGTTATGTTATGTTATGTTATGTTAAAGCTGCAGAATCAAACCCAGAGAAATTAGCAATTACAAGAAAAAACCACACTCAAACTACAGCAGCCTTGGGCGATGTCTAACATACAATCAAAACATGCCTGCTGTGACAGATGCCACTCGGGACGCCTCCATCCCACACCATAGTGCCTGGTTCAGGACCCAGCTCCACTTCCCATTCCAGCTTCCTGCTCATGCATACCCTAGAAGGTTGATGGTTCAAGTACTTGGGTCCCCATTACACGTATGGGAGACCCAGACTGAGATGCACACTTTTGATTCTGGGGTGGCCAAGCCCTGGGTGTTGCAGGTATTTGGAGAGTGAAGCAGCAGATGGAAGTTGTGTGTGTGTGTGTGTGTGTGTGTGTATCTCCCTCTTCAATAAAAAAAGTGTTCGTTTCACAAGCAGACTTACAGTATGAGCTGTTGAATACTATGTATCTCACAACCGCAAGCCATGCCTAAACCCAGATGATAGCTTTGTGATTTCCTTCTACTGTCATTTCTCCAAGGTTAGGTGGGCTCAGTGGCACATAAAGCAGCAGACGACACGTAAGGAAGCCTGTGCTGCATTCCCACACTGAAAGCAAAGAGCGAGTGTACCGATGGTGACTAAGCTCTTTTCATCACAACGGTTGTCACTCGCGTTGCCATTGAAATCACCTTGTGGGGAAGACAGAGGTCAGAGGCTTGTGGACCCTTCCAGCTCGGCCCAGAGATGGAGTTCAGGTTACAGCCGATCAGGCAGGCACACCTGGAGCAGTCTCCCTCGCCAGACATAATGGAGGGAGTGCGTACATAGTAGCACCTTCAGCAATTGAGGGAGCCACTGGATGCAGTCATGAATCTCCTTTTGAAACTCAGAAAAGAACTGAAAGATTTAACGTATTATATTTTGGGGAGAGATGATAATAAATCAAATGTCAATGGTGGAGTAAGAAAAGAAACCTTACTGGGGTAAGTAGATGCTGATTATAATTGGAGATCTGGGAAGAAAACAAATTGTACTTGGCAGCGTGAAAAGAAGTGATTATATGTGTCAAGGTTAAAGAAAAATCTCTTCTGTTTGAAGTGGAGACTTGCTTTGGAACCTGATGGGGGCTCCTTCCGGCGTAGGAGAGAAGGAAGAACAGCGTGAACTTGGAATGCAGAAATGTGATGTGCTTCACCCCAATTGAAGAGTTAGCATCGGAAATAAGGCAAGAGAAAGTGGCTACACACGCTGGGAGCACACTGCGGAGCCTGGTGTCTTACCTTCTGACCGCGATGAGATAAAAATTTTTATCTTGTAGGTCATCCTCACTGAACAGGTGGCAGCTGCCTCGAGTCCCACGTCAGGGAATCTAAGCAGTGCTTGGGCTAAAATGAGAAAAAAAAACAGCGGAGCTGCCCTCAGAGGTGGATAGTGGTCCTTGGGCTTCATGACTGCTGACTTCGTCCTCCAGCAAACCAGAGTCATTAGAAGTTCAAAAGCAGACTGACTCTATGAAGCAGAGATGGTGTTGCTAGCAGCATGCCCATAAGATTTGTCCCTAATTTTTAAATTTCAGAACTTGTTCTGAAAAAAAAAATACTCAATAATAATTGCACCTTCAATTTGTTGATGGACTGACTCAGTGAGCATCACTGTGTGCCCACCAGAAGCATAGCTTTGGGGCTAAATGAGAGGCCAGGAAAATTGCTGCTGAGCTCCAGGGGTTCAGTCTACTAGGGACAGACTAGTAAAGCAGCCACCAGAGCGACACAGGAATAAGCTAACAGTACTAGACCTGGCTGGAATGGTTCATTCATGATTCTTGGGTGAAGCCCAGGACCTAGTTCTAATTTGGACAAAAAGGAGTACCTGAAAGAGTATTGTTGGGGTGGAGAAAGCCCACAGGGACTCAGGCACAAGAAAGGCTGGAGGAAGAAGCTCAGAAAATAGGAAGGAACCCCCCTAAAAGACTCCAGACACCAAGTAGAAAGAACAAGCCTTCGGAGAGGCAACAGCCCCTGCCTCTGCAAACAGGAATTGAATTCCAGCCACCTCTGATCTTTGTGTCAGCCGCTCACAACCCAAAATCCCAGCAAGCATAATCTGATTGAATAAGACTTGAGCTGCTAGGGGGTGGGCGAGAAAGAATCCAGTCTTGGGTGGCTTTTGACAAAAAGTGCTATTTAAGCCAGAATCCAAAGAAGCAAGAGAACTCAGCTGCAGGTGTTGATAGAGCTGAATTATTTGCGGGCACACACACAAGTAAAACTCAAATATGTCCCTGTCTCAGTTGACTGACACGCTCAGAGCTCAGCAGCTCAACAGCCTCAGGCCCCTCTCCCCTTCTCACTTTTAATTACTGCTCTCCTAACCCACAAGTGTGAAACAGATCCAAAGGGATTTGAAAGGAGAAAGGGGAGTAAGAGGTTGAAACCGAAAGATCCCACATATGCCCCTGGTGGACCTCACTGTCCCCAACTCCCAGGGATTTCAATCTGACACCCCCCATTTATCAGACGCGCTAAGAGCAAACAGTGCCTTGGGTGCAACTAATGAAATGTGTACTGCGTTGCTTAGCAACCCCACACTGTTTATCCCACTGACTCCTTGCTTGGACACGTGTGAGTATAACTTTGGTTCTCTGGAGAATGTAACTGAGTCACAATTCTACTTTTATGAGATCAGAGGAGAATAAAAGCATTATTTACCTATGTGCAATTGTGTGCAGTTCCCGAAATGAAGCAGGTCTCCCAGACCTTCAGGTGAGATGACTCAGAAGATAATGAGGATGAACGGGGACAGCAAGTGTCAAGTACAGGCCAGAAATAAATTCTGTTCACATCAGCCTTCCAGAAAGGTGCAGGAGATCTGGGCAGAGGGGTCTCCGTCAGCCTGAGCGCCAGTGAGGGTCAGAGACAATCAGGAAAGTCAAGAGCACGTTGGTTAGACGCAGGCGACCCCTGGCCATCCTTCTTCAGACTGCCCACTGCTCTAAGGAGGCAGGCTGCCACCATGCTTAAATGCAGCCTTTTATATCCAGAAACTTCCTGGGGAGAATGCAATACTCGTGCTCTATGCGGAAGATTGCAAAGATTGAATGAAGAAAATTATAGTTGATGTCCTTTCCTGTGATTAGAATGACGAGAATATCTAAAAATGTCTTTCCTTAATTTCATAGCATTTTTAATCAATAAATAAAGTTTTAGGGGTTTGGTAGCAGGCGAAGGAAGCATGCAGTCCAAAATATGTACAAGTTGATCCACTGAGGCATAGAAAGACAACATTAGAATTTTAATTCAGTTTGCACACTATACATGTATAGTTTATAAATTCAAAAATTCTATACATTACGGGTACTTTTAGAAGATCTAAGATGGTGATGGAGTTATTCCTTACACAACCAAAAATGTTTAGAGATCATTGACTTTAATCCTGTATTTAAGGTCACAATTTGTTTTCAAAAAAAAAAAAAATGAATGAATGAAAGAAAAAAGATTTACAGGGCCAGCATCCCATATTAGCATCAGTTCAAGTCCCAGACGCTCCACTTCCAATAAAAAGGCAGAGTTAGAGAGAGAGGAAGAGACAGAGACAAAGAATCTTCCATCTGCTGGTTTACTCCCAAAATGACCACAACAGCTGGAGCTGGGCCAGGCCAAAGCCAGGAGCCAGGAGCTTCTGGGTCTCCCACATGGGTCAGGGGGCACAAGCACATGGGCCTTCTTCCACTGCTTTCCCATGCGCATTAGCAGGGAGCTGGATCAGAAGTGGAGCAGCTGGATTCAAACCAAATGGGCACCCATAAGGGGACACGAGTGACACAGTGGCGGCTTCACCAGCTACACCGCAGCACCAGCCCCTGCTACTTTGTTATAATCGGATATTATCACGTCATTTTAACTTCACTACCCATATAAAAACTATGTATAAATGGCCTCAGACCCCGGCGTGGGACGTGGTTCAACCATCCTCGGCTGCACACATTGTTGGCACTGTTCTGATCGATGCCCTCCTTGTCCATTCTTTACTAAGTGTTAAGCCACGAGCGGCCTCAAGGCTGCCCCAGGCCTGTGTTGGACAGCAGGACATGAGTACAAACAGTTAGGGGAGTTACAAGACCCTCTTTCAGTGGGATGTCTCTGGTGAAGCATTAGCTACTGTTTCAACTCCCTCCACTTCCCTGCTAAAGCTTCTCTGGGAGTGCAGCACCTGCTGCCCCCACCTGCCTGGAGCGTGTGGGTGTCCTCTCCACTGTGCACAGTTACCGTCCCAACCTTCCGGTACGCAAGGCCCATGACAGCAGCTTATGAGACTCTGACATCACCCAGGAAGTATTCCCTTTGGGTTAGCTACATAACCATGCTTAATAAAACAGGCCATCCGTGAGTCAGCCCAGTCTGAATTGTTTGGGCAAGTCACGACTGACTAAGTCACTTCTCAGACTGTGACCCAAGGGTTTGGTGCCAAAATGAAAGAAACGCTTTCTCTTCTCATGGCTTTAGGGCCAAAGCCTTGGCCAGTTGGAATATGAAATAGACTAGTAACAGAGTCAAAGCTTGCAATTTTTTTTCAGTAAAAACCTGATGTTTCAATCAGATGCAATTTCAAATTACTTGCTGTTGTTCAAAGGTTTATATGGCTCTTCAACACTCCAGGAGGCTTTTCTTAACGACCTTTGGATTTCCACTCTCCAAAGACATTTCTCTGACCCCTTGAAACCCGAGCCATCTGGTCCGCTTGTCCAAATATACCAGTCACCTAGGGCTGACTACAGCACACATCTCCCGCAGCTTTCACTGATGTTTGCAGCGCTTATCTCCACACCTGTAACAGCCCGGTGGACACCCCCAGCCCCTGCAGTGCTGCAGTGTACTCTCCTTCAATGATAAAGGGAAACCGTGAAGGAGCTGAACAAGTGTGATCACGTTTGCTCTCACCGTCCCACCACAGCGCATCCAGTGTCGCGCCGTCTACTGGAAATCAGGAGTCTGCTTGGAGAGTCCGCTCAGGAGTCAAAGCGGGGGCTTAAATCTGGAAGAGTTTCAATTGGCTGCTTTGCAAGCATTGCTTTATAGTTTTGATTTTAAATTTTTATTAATGTAAAGAGACCAGATTAATGTATTTCATAGTTAAAATTCTAATATAACCTGCATTGAGATTTAATGCTATAACGAGTACTCAAATAATATATTTCACTTTGTGTTTCTATGGGGGTGCAAACTGTTGAAATCTTTACTTAATGCATACTAAACTGATCCGCCGTTTTCTTCCATTATTGATTCCTTCTTCCATGAAAGTTTCACTAAGAACTATCACTCCAACTTGACTCTCACTGGGATTAAACATGACAATAGGTCTGATCTGATTTCATCATCATTAAAAAAAATCATCTATTATTTTTCACTTTATGTTTCTGTGTGGGAGCAAACTGTTGAAATCCTTACTTAATGTATACTAAGCTGATCTTCTGTATATTAAGATAATTGAAAATGAATCTTGATGTGAATGGAAGGGGAGAGGGAGTGGGAAAGGGGAGGGTTGTGGGTGGGAGGGACGGTATGGGGGGGAAGCCATAGTAATCCATTATTCGTACTTTGGAAACGTATATTCATTAAATAAAAGTTAAAAAAAAAAATTCTAATATAACCATACATAACCACAAACCCCCCCTTCTTTAATTTTTGCAAAAAGATCATCTCAATCCACTCTATAAAAATAGCCTGAATACATCACTAACCATAATATTCAACAAGAAAAACTAGAGACAACAGTTCCACAGGAGTATAACCAAGAGATAAAACAATCAAATAACAAGATGTCCTTTTCATTCCTATATATTTTTGTATTCTCTATTACTTACCATGTATCACAAAAAAACATGATATTAGTCTTTTCCACTTTGCTTACGGCCTTGTCTAAATACTGATGGAGTTTGTGAATTCAAAAGGCTTCCATAGCCTTGGCAGCTCATTACAAGAGTTTTGCATGATCACTGACATCATAAATAAGAGTGTCAATTGTTAAATCAACAACAGGAGTCACTGTGCACCTACTCCCCATGTAGGACCTCTATCCTTAATGAGTTGTACTATGAGAATTAACTGTAAAACTTGTCTTCAAATAGTATTTTACACTTCGTGTGGGTGCAAACTGTTAAAATCTTTACTTAGTACAGAGTTGGTCTTCTGTATATAAAGATAATTAAAATGAATCTTAATGAAGAATAGAGAGGGAGAGGGAGTAGGAGGTGGGACAGAAGTGGAGGGGTGGGAGGGTGGGTATGGGGGGAAGAACCACTCTATTCCTAAAATTGCAAATATGAAATTTGTATTCATTAAATAAAAGATTTCCAAAAAAAATAATAAAATTGAGCTGTTGCTAGCTTTTTCTCCATTGCAAACAAAGAAGTAACGGACATTCTTTGACAGGCCTCATTTGCTTATGTGCAAGAGTTTCTCAAGTTTATAGACCTCCATGCCACTGAAGATTCTTCAAGTACCAGGTACTGTGTTACCAGAACAGATCTTGCAGGTAGCCAGTATCATCTGCATTTTACAAATTAGTAATATGAGGCACATAGAAGTTAAGTAACTAGCTGAAAGTCACACAGCAAATAAAGTACAGAACCACAGTTTAATAGGTTTATCTAACTTTAGTGCTCATATTCCCAATCTTTATACCATTCTATATTCTAGTGTCTGATTAACAAAAAATTCTGAATGTCCCAAATTTAACTACAAGAGCCACAGGATGGAGGAGAAGATTAATCAGTTAACAGCTGCAAGCAAAACCAGAGAATGTTTGTGTCTTTTTATTCCTGAACACATGTTAAAACCTCAACTCCAGCTGGCACCGTGGCTCACTAGGCTAATCCTCCGCCTGCGGCACCAGCACCCCAGGTTCTAGTCCAAGTTGGGGCACTAGTTCTGTCCCGGTTGCTCCTCTTCCAGTCCAGCTCTCTGCTGTGGCCCGGGAGTGCAGTGGAGGATGGCCCAAGTGCTTGGGCCCTGCACCTGCATGGGAGACCAGGAGGAAGCACCTGGCTCCTGGCTTCGGATTGGCACAGTGCGCTGGCCGTAGCAGCAATTTGGGGGGGTGAACCAACGGAAGGAAGACCTTTCTCTGTCTCTCTTTCTCACTGTCTACTCTGCCTGTCAAAACAACAACAACAACAAAAAAAAAAAACCACCTCGACTCCATCATGAACAACTAGGACCATTGTGCCATTTTCAAGCATTAGCCTTCCAGACTGCTAACCCAACCAACCCAGAAGCAACAGTTCTCTTCAGCACCACGCTCCTACCCCAAACCTTCCCTGCCTCCTATCCTTAATTTATTCACAACCACTGCAGGCTCAGTGTCAATAGCCTATCCCAAAATTTTTGTTCAAAACAAAACGCTCTTTGTTGGGGTGGCATTTGGCCCAGGGTTTAGTCGTAGCTTTGGACACCTGCATCCCATATCACAGTCTAGTTTGAGTCCCAGTTCCTCGGCTTCTGACCCAGCTCTGTGCTAATGCACACCCTGGGAAGAAGCAGATGAAGGTTCAAGTACATGGGTCCCTGCCACACAAGTGGGAGACCTGGACTGAGTTGCAGGATCTTGGCTTTGGTCGTTATAGGCATTTGAGGAATGAACCAGCAGATGGACGATCAGTATGTATGTCCCTGTCTCTCTCTACCACTCCATCTTTAAAATAAGTAAAATTTAAGGAAAAAAAGGAAGATATGACTTTTTAAAAAGATTATAGGGGTAGCTTCTTTTTTCCAGTGGTTACTCTTTTTTTTTTCATTTTCAATTCTCCTTATATACAGAAGATCAATTTAATATATATTAAGTAAAGATTTCAACAGTTTGCACCCACGTAGAAACACAAAGTGTAAAATACTGTTTCAGTACTAGTTATAGCACTAATTCACAATGTACAACACATTAAGGACAGAGATCCTACATGAGGAGTAAGTGCACAGTGACTCCTGTTGTTGACTTAACAATCGACACTCTTGTTTATGGCATCAGTAATCACCCTAGGCTCTTGTCATGAGCTGCCAAGGCTATGGAAGCCCCCTGAGTTCACCAACTCTGATCATATTTAGACAAGGCCATGGTCAAAGTGGAAGTTCTCTCCTCCCTTCAGAGAAAGGTACCTCCTCCTTTGATGGCCGGTTCTTTCCACTGGGATCTCACTCACAGAGATCTTTCATTTAGGTCTTTT